TGGTTCAACACAAATAAGGGGTTGCATAAAATTTGCAACACTGACTATTTTCTCACATTTGTTTATAAATGTATTGGTTATTTACACAAAATCCCTTTTAAAAATTCAATTAATCAACCAGACATTGGACAGTATAGAACTGTATCATTTTCCAGTATATATATGCGCCCTCTTCCTTTAAGAGTCTTTGGTCAAGGGTTTAAACACTACTTTAACAAGATCTGATGCAAAATTCTGAGATTTCTCTATGGCTGTAAATCCTGTAGCTGACACAGCCTGAGCCGCCTTCTCTGCTGCTTCCCATGGAGTTTTTGCATCTTCTGCTGCGTTATATCCTGTTATGCCCCCCAAGAACGCTCCCGCTGCTGTAGCTGCACCCGCTACTAGCCTTAACCCTCCTCCAATTTGAGAAGCTGCTCCTCCGATTTTTCCAGCTATTTCTGCTACTTTTCCCCTTTCTACTGTTGGCACCTTTTGTGCTTCTGGTGATTTTTCCACTGCTGCTGCTGCTGCTGCTGTGTCTGCTTCTTTTCCTGCTGTTGCTGCAGGTGGTTCTCCTGTTTCTGCTGCTACGTTTGCTTCTTTTTCTGCCTCCTTTGTTTTGTCTGGTGCTGAACTTGCTGTTACGTTTAAAGCTAGTTTTGTAAACGTTCCGCTCCATGATTTGGTTGCAGAGGTGATGACATTAAGAGTTGTTGCCAGCAATGCAACAACCACTGACACAGCTAATGCTGGACCAAAAGCAGCTCCTAACAAAGCACCAGTAGTGATGCCTGCTAGCTTGTTTAAGAAATCTTCATGTGTCCTTTCTTTAGCCGTCTCTCTGATTTTTTTCTCTGATATGTTTCTGGAAGACTTTGCGATGTGTTCTTCTTCTTTTTTAATGTTCTCCTCTATTTTTTGCAGCATGGCATTGGTGTAGAAGCTTCCGTCGTTCTCTTCCACTGTCTTCTCGATTGACTTGAGCAGTTTCTTCACCTGGTACCGGTTGCTTCTGTAGCTGTACTTCGATCTCTTGTTCCAGTGTTTGTTGTCAACGACGTGGCATCGATTTCCACACTTTTCTACTAAGTCGCTAAGGAACTTGTTCTCCTTCACAAATCCTTGGATTTGTTTCCGTCTTGGGAGCCGATCACCGTGGGTAAAGACAACAGTGGAATATTTAAACACTTCCTCAGAGAAGTGTTCATTCATTTTGCTGACGATGTCGTTGTCTTTCTCTGTAGATTTCTCCATGTTGAGCACGATTAGGAAAGCGTGAGGGCCAGGCGAACACTCTGTGATTCCTTTCAGTAACTCAGCCTTCAGCTGTTTCTCATCTTTCTCTGAATCAAATAATCCAGGCATATCGATCAGAGTAATTTCTCTCCCACCAACACGTTTGGTCTTTGCTTCACATCCACTCATCCCAGGATCCACGTCATGGTTGACTTTAAACTTCTGCTCTTTAAATATGGTGTTTCCAAGGCTGCTTTTTCCTGCTCCAGTTTGTCCAATGATGGCAATTCTTCTTAGGCGCACTAAGAGATAAGAAAAAAAAAACATTTATTTTTGTTGACTGTTCTTCAAGAAGCATCATATATATGTTACATCTAACCTTACTAAAAAATAATAATTAAAGCTGGGGCCAGGACATGAGAAATCACAGTAACCTATGATGTCTTACCTGAAATAGGAATTTATAGTTAAATTGTTTTATGTCATATAAATTATTCATCATTATTTTACTCAGTTATATTCTCATGCAACATTTTCTTTGTCGTAAATTGCACAAATTTAAGAACTTTTCTTTGCTAATAAACTAAGCATTTAACTTGGGGTGCTATCTTAAAGCTTCTGAGCAAATGTTGAAATTTTCTTCTTTCCTAATTTTACTCTGTGATATAGTGCTGCCCTCTTTGGGTTAAGCTGTGGCTACTGCAGTTGAATTTTCCTATTGGTTATAACAGTGCTGTATGATACCATCTGAGTTGTTAGACTTGTCGCTTCTTTTTATATAGAGCATAAATTTTTATGGTTTCACTGGGGGATCAGTTAGACTTTAAAGGCAAGTAATTAGAAAGAATAACAAAACACAACATTTTCAGACCTTTTGTAAATAATTAATTAAAAACTTACAGGCTAAAAAATGCTACATAAGTTCAGTTCATTCAGAATTTTACAATTTGTGTGTAATTAAACTCATTTACACGTGGTTAAAAAAAAAAAAAAAGACCTACGTTGGGAATTGTTCCGTCTTGCTCCCAACCCACAACAAGCAGCTGGAGGGCCTACAAATACAGGAGAAACTCATCACACACAAAAACAGCAGAATGTAACTTAAATGTTGTTGTTTTCTAAAACAGGAAACGATGAACAAAGGCGACTGATGAAATCACTCTTTTGAGCTTGAATGATTACAGTTTATCACAGACATGCCTCATCCACAAGTGTTAAGATGCAACATTATATTTGCGATTTTGTTAGTGAGAAAATTGAGAAAATCCTCTGAGTTACGGCTTCTTGAACTTGATGACCGCAGTGTTAAAGGTGCAGTGATATCAAATTAATATTCCAAACTTTCCCATTAGTTGATCAACTTCAAATTGTTTTACTTTGTCTTGCTTACAAGAGAAGTACATGTTAGAAATATGCTGGCATTGCCTGCTCTGTGTTAGAATGTCAGGGAAAGCACGAACAGCAACAAAAACAACGAGTTTAGATTTCTAGAAAGAGTCAAAGGGGTTAACATTTATTATTAGTAATTATAATATCTTACCTTCCATGATGTTGAAGAAAGAATTGCTCAGGAATCCCTCAGAAAAGCCACTCACCAAGGAGAAGCAACTTTTTTCTTTGGCTTCTTTGGACGCTTCATTTCACTTTTGATTTTATTACTGGCTGCGTCACACAAGCAAACTTAACAACATAACAAACAGAAGATACTGAAAGACCAGGGTGTGTTTAACATTTGTCTGATAAGACAACTGAGGTGTTGTCAGACAAAAGTATTCACACCCCTTGAACTATTTTGTATACAACATGACAGCAACAAGCATAAATATTCAGATTTTATGTGAAAGACCGACACAAAGTGGTGTACAATTGTGAAGTAGAAAAAAAAAATTCTACATGCTTCAAAGCATTTTCAACAAATAAACTGAAAAGTACCTTAGTTATTTTTGTCATAAAAAAGGCTGTGTGTCAAGAATATTGCTTTTATCACCTGCATCAGACTTGATAATCTTGATGAATTGGACTTTAGTGCCTACAGCTGGTATATAAGAATTTTAACTTTTACTTTCAGTTGATCTGCTGATGGCTCCTATTTTAAATCTATATTTCTGGGTAATAAATGATAAAATCAGTTGTAAACCTCATACTAAACATTTACAGAATAAACTAAATAGAAGCAAATCAATCCTGGCTAAAGTCAAACATTCTGAATAATAAATCACTTTATATTCTTTATACCTCTCTGATTTTGCCTTATTTAACATTGTACAAAGTTTGGGGGATTTATTACAAAAGCTCTTTACTTCCACTGAATTTTCTACAGAAACATTAGAACCATCCATAATGTTGGTTATTATGAGACCACAAACACATTATTTTTAAAATCTAAAACTCTTAAACTTGAAGTGCTGGTGGAATTTAAAATTGCTCAAATTGTGTTTAAGGCGTCTAATAAGCTGCTGCCTGATCTCAGACATGTTTTGCAGCAGTATTAAGGAAAGATTTAGTATTAGAAATTCAGCAGTTTATTTAATTATACAGAGGTGGCATTGATGTTTGGTACCAGCTCTTGAAGGGGTAAAAGGAAATGAAAGGCCAGATAAATGGGCAAAAAGGGCTTTAGAGGTGACAATAACGATTATGATTCCTTTTGGGAAAGGGAAATCATTTATTAAGAATAAAGAAATGGAAAAATGGCAAAAAAGGTGGAATGAAGATAAAAACGGAAGAAGATTATATAAAGTACAAAAGTCAGTATTAATTAGAATTATTAATGAGAGAAACAGAAGGGAATAAATAATAATGATCAGATTAAGAGTAAGCCATACCTATTTAAATGATGTTTTATATTTAATAGGGAGGAAAAATAATGATAAATGTGAAGGATGTGGAGAGAAAGGAAATGTAGAACAAGTATTGATGAACTATAGAACATATGAATCTGAAAGGGAGAAATTGAAAAGAATGGTTGGAAGGACAAGAAGGTCAAGAATGGAGTCTTAAAGGAATACTGGGAAATGAAGGAAACATAATGGATATTTATAGATTAAGAAAAGCATAATTTATTTTTCTTCAAAACACAAGATTAAAAAATAGAATTTAACAGATGTAAAGAAATGTTGCTACACAGTCGTGTACAGTAGGTGGCGGTATGCACCTTAAAGTTGCTTGCAAGCCGCCATAATAGAAGAGAAGAAGAAGAACTCTAGCGCCAGAGTGTTAGCCAGAAATGGTACATATCATCAGAGAGGGTCAAAAGTTTCCAGCACACAGTAAAAAGCTGACACTTTTAAATGAATATAAGACTACTGATGTAAGAGTGATAACAACACATAAAAATCCTAACATTCCCCTCCTGTTATCATTCTGACATATGTGTGAGCTACCTAAAATCTAAAGAAAAGAAAAGAGAAGACAAGAAAATGAAAAAGGAACAATAAAAATGCTAATTTTTTTCCAGTCTAAGGAATACAAACACACTAAAAAGAAATGTACTGTATAAATGAAACAGCAGGAAACCAAATGCATTTCTTCATCACGTGTTTTCACATTTTCAGTGTAGGAGTCATAGCAGATGACTTAATATGTTTATTTTTTAATATGTTCATCATATAATACTTTTTTCAGGTCATCTTTGTCCATCCGGAACTTGTTATCTTCATGTGGGTCACGGCATCAAGATGACAGGTATTTTCTTCCCAACCTACATAAAAAAGAACCACAGACAACGTATATGAGCTTTGAAATCAAGCTTTCATGAAAAGACAAGACGCAGCGGACCGCTCCAGCAAGCTGCCCACCGCTCGTCCTGATAACTTCCAGCTTGAGCTTGTCTTTTATTTTCAGGGAAGGGAGAGATTAAAAAAAAAGAAAGAAAGAGATAAAAGAAGAACATGTTTCACGCAGGTCATCTAGTCTTTTACATGTGGGAGATTTCTCCCAAGGGCTGAGGGAATCTAGAGGTAATCATGCTGCAGAGACCTTCTTTGAGTGAGGGTTAAAAGTTTCCAACACACACAGTAAAAACCTGAATATGAGACTACTGATGCAAGAGTGATAACACATAAAAATCCTGACAGGCGCCAACACACACAGGCCAAACAATTCCATATATACATTTTCCAAAATCAAATTGGTCCTTCGCAAAAGGGCTTAAATGTCTTCTGAACAATGAAAGGCTGACCGTAGCGCTGGTCAAGCCTCTTCATTGCTTCTCTGTATGCATCTCCTTCACTGCAATAAAATATGACCTCCAGACATTTAAGAGCAGGACCAGTGATGTACCTTTTCAGTAGATGCAGTTTATCAGCAGGAGATATGCTTTTCCAGTCCACCACTGAGACGAATGAATCTTTCCATTTGAGGTAGTTGGTTGGATCTCCGCTGACCGCCATGGGCGCAGGCGGTGGGACGGTGCTGTCTTGGATAGCTTTGGCCAACAGGGATATGTCTGTGAGAAAAGTTGGAGCAGCAACTTGAGGGTGTGCCTTGTTATGATATTTTATTTAGATTTTCTACAAAGACGGACAAACAAAACATTTCCATAAATCTGTCACATGCAGCTATGAATACACTTCGCCAAAGGCCGTAAAAGTGCGGACTCAGAGTAAGGGTGGAAACAGAACCCAAAATGGACTTAGGGCGGATGAGAAGAATGTGGGACACATTGTGACCTTTGACCTCCAACAAGAACAAGGGAGGGAGGGAGAGAATCGGGACCGGGCCTAAATGTGTTCTGGTTCCATAAACTTGCTTTAAACTGGTTGTGTTCTGGCTCTGACCTTTGACCTTTCTCTTTCAGTACATGAATGCAGCTGGCTCTCAACTGGTTTTAAATTATCTCTAAAACTGTCTGAACTGGTCTGAATTGATTCTATACTGGTTCTGGTCCTATTCTGGTTCTGGTTCTGTTCAGGTTCTGGTTCTGTTCAGGTTCTGGTTCTGACCTCTGGGCTTCGTCTTGTAGTAGATGTATCCAGCCAGAGACAGGATCAAACCCAGGACCATTCCCGAAGCTCCGATGATCAGTTTGTTCCTCTCTGACTTTGGCATGGACGGGTCTGGAAGGACAGAGAGGAAGAGGACAGAGACGTGGGGACATGTTTGGACAGGAGAGGGACATGGGGAGACATGAGGACAGGTGAGATATGAGGACAGGTGAGACAGGTGTTCCGTCCTCCAGGTGTCTCCAGTTGTCGTCCTTCTTACCCCAGTCGATGATCAGAGGCTCCTTCAGGCTGGCATGTTCCACCCTGCAGGAGATGCGCTCTCCAGGTCTGAAGAGAGAGGAACAGAACTGGGTCAGAACCAAAAGATCCGGGTCAGAACCAGCAGGGAGCTGGGTCAGACCCCAGGGGTTCTACTGGTTCTGGTTCTGACCCACCTGGGCGTGTACTCCAGCGTGGAGTGGATCTGGTAGTACCAGTCTCCATCCTCCATCTCGTCAGTGGTGGTGACGTCTGATGTCACTTCCTGTCCATCTCTCAGCCACCCGACGTTGATGGTTTTAGGGTAGAAATCATAAACGCTGCAGACCAGCATGGAGGGGTGGTGGCCAGCAGGGGGAGTCCGGGAGTGAAGTGTGACGGTGGGGATGACTGGGAGATTATTGACAGGTTATTGATTTATTATTAAGGTCAAATTAATCCATACATGATCCATTCTGATTATGCCTGGATGTCACAGGAAGTATTTATATTATTGTATCAATATTAACAGTTTCTGTGTTGATTATTGATGATAAAACCAGTTTAACCACAACTGAAGCTGCTGGGAGAACTGGAGGGAAAATGGAAGTAGATTATTAAATTTACTGTGATGATTCTGGTTATTGATCCAAACAGACCTGGGTTTTATATAGTTATAATTAATACATAAATATAATTATAAACAGACCAGAGTTCTGATAAACTAATGTTATTATTGTAGATAAATCACAGATCATTAATAATAATAGAACTGGATGTTATAGACTGAGTCCATCTATAACTAGATGTAACTTCAGTATTTAAGTTCTATAGTGAATTTTATATTTATGAACAATTATTCTTTAAACGTTTCTGATGTCATTAATATATCTATGTATTTAATATTGATTAACTCCAGTAGTTATTACCATCACTAATATCAGCAGTGACTGGATCTCTATAGATCAGCTGATCAGATCCATGGTGAGAGATAAATATTGATCATTTGATGACATCAGAGTTTAATGTTTAAGTTAATCAATAATAAATAAATGAAGACTGAAATATTCAGTTTAATGATCATCAGTCAGAACTGATCAGAGAATCAGGAAATGATCAAATCAAACTCACCTGATTTAGTCAGAACATTCGGGTAGTCGACACCAATGTTGTGCAGGCAGTAGGTTTCCTTCTGAGCTCTCATCATTGCTATCCTTGAAGGATCTTTGTTCCATTGTTCAGCATTCTTCACTCCAAACTCCGTATATCCAATAAACTTCCCCACGTTGCTGTCAAACCTGACATACTCTATCTTGTTGTAAATGTAGGAGCTGATGAACTGGATGTCTAGCAGCTCAGTGGAGTTAAAGGCACAAAGATTCACTTGGCAATTTCTGAATCCATCTGGAACCAAAACAGAACCTCAGCATTGATTTACTGTCAGTTATTGATCCTAGCAGGCGTTCATTTGATCAACTTCACATCGATTACCAATCAATACATTTGAATGGACTGAAGTAATGATTACCATATTAATGATCAATAATTAATCAGAACATTGATCAGTTTATCAGTTTTGAATCTGCATCACTGATTTGCCAGCAGAACTGATCCAGAGTAAGAGACTATTGATCCAGATATTAGCTGTAGTATTGATCAGTGATCAGATTATTGATCCTGATCAATACTACATATTTCTATACTGCATATTTCTATATTTTTATAGAAATATGCAGTTTAAACCCTGAATATTGATCCATATAACTTAATGATTGGTGGTTATCAGTTATTACCAGAGTATTGATCATATTATCAGTTATTGATCATACCAGCAGAGTTTATGATGATGACGATCAGCAGCCAGCAGAGCGGTGATGGAGCCATGTCTCTCTCTCTCTCCCAGTCAGAGGAACTAACTGGTTCTGATAGGAACTGCTGTAAAAACCAGAACAGAGTCCCATGACCTCTGCATCACTGGTTACCGGGTAGAAGAGCCTGAGGGCTGAAGATCACAGAGAGAAATGGGTTCTGTTCTGGTTCTGTAGTACATTTAAAAATTAAAAATGAACAAAGTTTACAAACAAAGAACCAGCAGTTGGTTCTCCTGGACTCCTGCAGAACCAGTTCCTGAACCCGAGGAACTGGTTCTGGAGCTCCAGCCTTCCTCTGCCCAGCTCCTGATGACGTCACAACCCTCATGCCCTCTGATTGGCTGCTGCCAGCGTTTGGTTCCAGCAGCAGCTTCAGTTCCTCTCAGAGTCTCTGAGAGTCTGACTGATGAAGATGAAGCTGCTCCTCTTCCTCAGCGGGGTCCTCTGGGTCTCTGCTGATGGTGAGTTATTCTGGTTCTGACCGGGTCCAAACTGGTTCTGATAGACCCATGGGGTTCTGGAGGTTCTGCTCCAGGTTCTTCATCAGTTTCTCTCTCTGTGTTTTTAGTTCTACATAAGGACCTTAGTATCGATGGATGCTCAGACTCTGATGGAGAGTCTGTGTACACCCTGGATAGAGAAGTGCTGTGGTACGCCAACTTCCAGAAGGGAGAAGGAGTCGAACCTCTGCCTCCTTTTATTGACCAGATGAGCCGCCCAGGAGCTTATGAAACAGCTGTGGCTAATCAACAGATCTGCAGAGCAAACCTGAGGACGATTCGTATAGCCATGAAGGACATCCCAGATGAAAACGGTGAAGAACAATAATTATTTAAACTGATTTATTTTCACCTCTGATCAGCTGATCATTTTTATAATTAAATGTTTATTATTAACAAATCAGAATATTTTAATCAATTAAATCCAGTCCAGTGAGGAAAAACCATGTTGTCTAAAATCTGACATATGATGTTAATTAAAGCTGTTCCAGTTTATTACAGTTTATATTCATCTAATATTATCACTCTATTAACTGTTTATTAACCATTAATAACATGCAGAGCTTTCTGACTTGATGAAAGCAGATATTTCACTCCGGGTTGTTTCTATATTTCAGTGCTTTCAAACATTTTATTTCACGTGAAAGAATTAATATTAATATTTAGCTCTTTTTTTGCTCCATCTAATTCATCAAATAATTAATATAAGTAAAACTCTTCATGTTATTAATTTTATTTTATCTGACCATCAATAAGTTTGTAAAGTTAAAGAATTTATTCACAAAACTTTAACATAGAAATCAGAAACCAAAAGAAACTGAGAATAAATAACTAAAATATTCCCATAGAGATTCAGTCAGGCTGGATAATTAGAAATAAAACAGGAATTTATCATTTTCATCTTTACATATGAACAATAACTGTCCTCTGCTCCCAGTAAAGACGATGGTGGTTACTGGGAACATCCCATAATATAATAAAACAAAGTAGGTCATATTGATGGTCTGGGTCCAGTTCTGGTCCAGTTCCTCTGGAAACTATTCCATTAGTTTATTTCTAATCTCTAACAGACCTGCTGCCGGTTAGCCCCACCCCATGGTTTACCATTTGCCGAGTTACAGTAAAGCAGGTCATCAGTTCTTCTGCTTCTCTTTGATGCTCTGAGTTGTGAATGTGGTAGACTCTGATCTATCCGGTCCACCATCAGACGTTCTGCTCTGACCCTTCCTGGATCAAACTCTCCATCAGGTCCTGTTCCTCCAGTTAACCTCCCCTTTTCTCCTCAGACCCCCCCGACGGCATGATGATTTACCCCAGAGACAATGTGGAGCTGGGAGTGAAGAACATCCTGATCTGTCACGTCTCTGGTTTCTATCCGGCTCCGGTCAACGTCTCCTGGACCAAAAACGGTCAGGAAGTGACTGAAGGAAGCAGCATCAATGTTCCCCTCCTCAATAAGGACTTCACCTTCACCCAGATCTCCAGGCTGCAGTTCGTCCCTCAGTTGGGAGACATCTACAGCTGCTCCGTGGAGCATGTGGCTCTGACAAAACCACAGACCATGACCTGGGGTGAGGAGACTTTAACTAGACTGAAATCCTGAAGGGGAGCCTTTAAGTTAATGATAAACCTGATTAAATGTTATTAAATCAAACATCCAGATGTTTCTTGTCTCTGTCTCCAGATGTGGAGGTGGACAATCCTCATTCCGGTCTCGGTCCGTCTATCTTCTGTGGAGTCGGTCTGACCATCGGCCTGCTGGGAGCCGCTGTGGGAATTTACTTCGTGATCAAAAGGAACAAGTGCAGATGATTGGCTGAAGCTGATTGGTTGATGATTTATGTTCAGTTTTAAACTGTGTTTTTTTTTTTTAGTTTTCACTTTAATCAGTTTCTTCTCTTCATCACTGATGTAAATTTAATATAAACTACTTTGACTGAAAGAACGAGATCACGGATACAAGCGGCCAAAATGGGTTTCCTCCGCAGGGTGTCTGGACTCTCCCTTAGAGAGAGGGTGAGAAGCTCGGTCATCCGGGAGGGACTCAGTGTAGAGCCGCTGCTCCTTCATGTCGAGAGGAGCGAGGTGAGGTGGCTCGGGCATCTGGTCAGGATGCCTCCTTGGCGCCTCCCTGGTGAGGTGTTCTGGGCACGTCCCACCAGGAAGAGGCCTCGGGGAAGACCCAGGACACGCTGGAGGGACTATGTTTCTCGGATGGCCTGGGAACGCCTTGGGATTCCCCCGGAGGAGCTGGAATTGATGGATGGGTGGATGGATAGATGGATGGATGGATGGATGGACGGATGGATGGATGGATGGATGCGCTAACAATGAACAGAACCTCCTGTCAGTTTGTGTGTTAGTTAATAAATGATTCATTTTTAATGATTTTTATCAGTTTATTGTCATTCATCCAGTTCAGTTGGTTTTTATCTCCATCACTAGAGCCAGAAGCAGAACCTCTCTGGTGTCAGGATGATACCATCCTCTCTCAATATGAAGGGAAAACTTTATTCCAAAGTAATTTTTATGCAGTCTGGAGTTTGTCTGACTTATGTTACTATAAATTAATTCAGTAGCAGCTTTCCTTAACACTTACTGTTTTTAGTTAGGGTTAGAATTGTCTCCATGCTGATGGACCATAAGTTCATTACTGTGGCTGCTGTCCAGAGGAATCATGAGAGCAGCTTATTCCCTTTGGTGGAGGGGAAATCAGGTCAGCTTGGTAGACCATTTGCATGCTTGGGCACCTTGGGAATCATGGTGTAGGGTTGGTGGGTTTTTGACCTTTGGCCTACTGTGCTGGTCTTCCTCCACTGTTTCTTCCTGTGGCCTCTGGCCTACAGCTACAGGTCTGCTGCTGGGCTGCAGTGGGTAGCAGGAAGATGGAGCAATAGTTAGTTAAATGGAACCAGAAACTGTAGAGAACCTGGTTAAAACCTGTAGAAAACCAGTGCAGATCCAGTTCAAAATAGCTTTGTCTCACTTAACACAATGCAAACTGAGTTAGGACTGTTAGAAACATTGGTATGTAATATCATAGGTTGTTTTCAGACAGATTTAAACTGGTGTCAGTAAGTGTCCATTATCAGAGACAGAGGAAAAATGTCTCATTTATAAATATTTCCTGTCTGGCCAGCTGTATATTTTGTACAAATAATTATTTGGTTTTAAACAAACATTATTTTTTCCTGAAATCAGGGATTCATGACATCTCTGAACAGAGTTCAGTTTTCTGCTGACGCTGATATGAAATTTCTGTGAAATTATGCTATTTCTCTAGTTTATAGTATTCATTATTTATGACCTGATATACAAAACCCTGACTCAAGTGATTCTACATTTTCAACACCAACGGTTTTCCTAAAGGTTGCCAGTTAATACAGCTAATGCAAACATCACCTCAGCCAATCACATGGCAGGAATTACACAAAATGCCACATTGTTGTATCCAAACAGAGTCACCAGAACTGGACCAGAACCTGATGGACAATAGTTTCCGGACCAGGTCTGGTCCAACTGGCCCATAAACCGTTTCACCTCTGGCAAACCAGACCCGGGCTCTGCTGGCCTGTCCTTCATTGAGGCATCTGGGTCAGCTGCAGATGCCTTTTCTGTCCCTTACAACTTAATTTTTGTAATATCAATAAAAACACAATGTATATCAACACAATTCTTTATTACAACATTCTAATTTAAAACACAACATAAGTATTGAAGAACAGGGGCGCAACTACATACTTTCTGAGGTGCATGCTAACATGTCATCGGGGCCCCCCAATGACACAAACTTGTACAACTGATCTTTAATAATAATAAATGTATGTGAATAAATTGCCGCCAACAGAGCAATTGAAAAAGAATGAAACAAAAAACAGGGCAATATTTCATCATTTAATATATTTGAGATATTGATATTCTGTTAGCCGGTGTCTATTTAGGTCCCGCAATGACAATTAAACTGACCTTAAAATTTCACGTGTGTCGTTTTGGTCATTATTTTTACACTCATTGTAGAGATGTGCGGTGTGTCTATCAGACATTCATAGCAATACGGAATAAATTGCGCCCCCCATGAGGCTTTGTGTGATTTGTGGGCGCGATAAACAAGTTTCACTAAATATTGCATTATAACCAAAAAAGAGAGATGTAACTTCTATCATGAATATAGACTAGCTGAAGAAAAACTTATAAATTACAATGAAATAATGCTACTCTGGTGGGCGCCAGGAGTAAGACTCCTCATCGTTTCCCCAGTAATCCTCCCAGGAATAGAGCTTTGGAGCTGACGTCACAGCGTATGATGTTTGCGTCGCTCGGCGCCATCTTTGCAGACCAAAACAAACCTTTTCAAGTGTTTTCATTGTGTTACCGCCTGCAGCGGAGTTATTTTCAAGTTGGATACTGGATATTCGCGTGCCACGGAGTAAGAGACGTTTAACTCAAGGTTGATCCGATTTATGAACGCTAGTTTCGGCCAGCTGTACTCTAGCGCTCCGAGGTTCACAAAGGGACCATCAATTTACGAACCAAACACTCCTGTAAATAAATGCCTTGTCTTGTGACCAACTGATACAAAAAAGTGGTAATTCATGCTATTACATGAGGCACACTATCCCCTATTAAAATTTTAAGTCATAGTCAATATTTTAAATAATTTTAATATTAAATATGTTTTCTTAGTTTCCAATTTGTGTGCCACATTAACTCAAAATCATTGTGAAATTATTCTTCTGAACTATATAGATTAGGCATATTTTTATTCCATGTTGACCATTTTTTTATTTTTTTTTAACCACAATTATATTTAAAAAAAATTTTTCATAAAATCTATTACCTTGGCTAGGTGATCATCACATTTGTTACCTGTAATGGTCAATTACATGAAATTCTAGGACAGGATCTATTTCATTACATGTTCATTTCTTACCTGAAATATGTTAAATACAACAAATATTTACTTAAAGTGTGATCTAGTTCATAAAATTTACTTGTCACCTTTATCGTTTAATTACACATTAAATGTTTAAGGGATTAACACATTGTCAAGTGATCCAGCTCTAAACCAGATTACTAATTGCTCCTTCTTAACCCATGAATCACCTTTCACGCAGAGAACACACAGACGCATTAATTGTGTGTTCATGTAAACATCAGTAACGTTTGGGCTGAGATCTTTTTAAAAATCTTCATATTCACTGAAGACAATTGCACATCTTAAAACCCAACAGTTACGTCTCCATATCTCCATTTGAATCCAGTTCCCAAAATACATTAAACTGGGTACATAGTCACAAACTGTCATTGTTTCAAAATGACAGTGAACAAAAACAGTATGACCAGAAACATCACCAATATCCCACTTGATAGGAAAATGGCTCCAGCCATTGGTACTCTGTCACAAAACGACAAGAACAGCAGGAAGTAAAAAGCGACAACCAGAAGGACGACTCCGATGTTCTTCTTGATCATCTCATAAAGGTGCATGATCTTGTCATACATTTTCTTGACCCATGTGCCTACCCCTACTGCTGCTGCCAAAGGTATTATACCTGCAGCTATTTTTGCCACCCAAGTTAAAGCTGTTCCAACTGCCCCTGAACCTCCCTCTGCCACCTCGGTAAGACCTGCCCCAACTGCCCCTGAACCTCCCTCTGCCACCTCGGTAAGACCTGCCCCAAC